TAGTAGCAATCAAGAGAGTTCAAGAGCTATCTCCTTGAGGCCAAACTAAGGGTCACAAGGAAATTCACAATCAAACTCAATTAATTAAAGCAATTCTCAAATTGATGGTCATATCATTAAGAAATGCAATGCAATCTAGATTAATCTTATAGGTTGATCATTCCTAATCTAATTAATCACATGCAAAACTATGTCAACCAATTTAATTGCAACAATTCAATCAATCAAAGATCATCAACTAGCACAAATTATCAATCAAGCATGCTTCCCTTTCTCCCTAGCAACTAATCTACTCACTAATCATGGTGTACTCAAGAACAAATCACTAAAATTAGTATTTATCATCATTCTAAATCAAAATCAAGAGAAAGCAATATCAACTACAATATCCAATTCAAATCCAAGCAATACAAGCAATCAAAGATGAAATTAAATCAATCAAGTAAGAGATGAACTAGAAGAAGAAAATCTTACTAACATTAATGATTGAAAATGAAGAAATCCAAGCACAATTGATCCAATGTTGAAATACAAATCCAATACCAAGAACTTCTCTCTAACTTCTCTCTCTTAAATTAAGCTAATGAAAATTATCTAAAAGTTATCTTCAAAAAGGAATTACAAGTGTATTTATAGGCAAAGAAGAAAAACGGGATTCCCGCGCCCTCTCCAATAAACCCCGCGCCCGCGGAAAATTGGGTACGGAACCCATTAAAAACTCTGCGAGCTTTCTGGGCAACACCCGCGCCCGCGGGTCTTCTAGCCCACGCCCGCGGCAAAAGCGCGACGAATCCCCTACTCCCAAAGGGTGATCAGAGGGTCGCGGTCTCTCTGGTACGAGCGGGCTCTCCAAACTACCCGCACCCGCGGCCAGACCGCGGAGAATTCCTGGTCGAAATCTGCCAATTTGGTGCATATGAGCCCTCTCCAAGCTGATTATTTCCTCCTTGCTTAGTCAATATAGCCCATCTTGATTCCCTTTCAAAGACAAATCCTAGGTACCTACAAGAACAAACAATGAAAAGGAATAAAAGGGAAAAAGAACCAAATAAAAGGAAAACACGAAGAAAACACGAAAAACACAAGGAAAGAAAGAAAGAAATGAATTAAAGGAAAAAGGACCAAAAATAAGAAAAGAAAGCATAAAAAGGAAGATGAAATCATCCTAAAAGACTACCCTACGAGTGCCATACATGACACTCATCAAATTCCCCCAAGCAAGACTTTTGCTCGTCCCGAGCAAAACAAAGGCTAAAAAGGAAAAAGAAGGGATTATTCAAAATAAGAAAATAAAAAGAAAGAGGTGAGAATATACACTAACTCACTTTCGTAGGAATCACGGTCAATTTTAGCAACAAAAGACAAGCCATTTAAACCCCTAGATCGCTCAAGAGGACGAGTGATGCTCTCGTAAAGGTTTCCTAGAGATAACCTATAACTCTTATTAAACAAACAAAAGAAGGAAAAAAAATGAGGCAAAATACAAGAATAAAGAGCAAATAATGAAAAACAAAATAAAAAATAAAAATAAAAATCTTTGTGAAATGGACTTTACAAAGTGACTATAATTCAAATGAATAACAACCTTTCTAAAGTAAGTAATGGTATGCACGTTATAAGATACCTAAGGTTGATTGAAACATAAATATGCTAAGCATAGGAACTAGTTGTCACACTCCACTTTCATCCCAAACGATCTTACCGCGTTCCCCCTACTAATCTCATATCTCCCCTTAGTGAGAGTCTCATAGATTCCACGAAGGAACCGGAAAAAGATCGAATTTTTTGGCTTACTCGACTTCTTGACTTCGCATCCCCTTTCCTTAGGCTATAACCCATGATTCCCTCCACCGATGAATGACTCAACCCCTAGGTCAAAAGGTCTTCCCAAAGGTTGTAACGTAAGGCAAAAAGGGTTAAGGTAGGCTAAATTTAAAATTTGGTGGTTAACCTAAATTGTGAAGCAAAGATTAGCCAAATCTTAACACCAAAATCGAGTAATCATCAAACAAAAACATATTAACACCCCCAAGCTTATTTAAAGCAACAATATACAAACATAAGAACAAAAAGCGCAAACGCTTTCCCCCAAGCTAAAAGAAGCATTGTCCTCAACGCATAACAGGGAGAAAGACACTTGAATTTTTATGGTTTTGTTTTCTGTTTTTATTATTTATTTATTTTTTTTTTTTTTGAATTCTCTCTTACTTTATCAAAGCATTAGTCCTTGCCTTTTATTTGGGACGGCTTTTACTTAGTCATTTGCCATTATTTTCCAAATATAAACAACTCAACCTTGTTCACCAATTTGAACCAAAATCTAAACTTACACACCACGATCTTCCAACATTGACCATTGCTTCACAACAACCAAGAAAAAATGAAAATGAAACAAAAGGCTCAAGAATTCTAAATATGTGGCTTGAAAAGAAGGGAAAAAAGGTTCAAAGGGCTAGCAAGTAGGCAAATGTATCCCTAAACCCAAAATTAAAAATAAGGAAACTATCCTAGAAAAAGGAAAAATACCTCCCCGAAAAGATGCCTTTGTCCTCCCAAGGTGGTTCGGTCTCGGTCTTAGGAATCACACGTTAAGATTCAAGATTAAGTTTGCGAAAGTCAAGGATCTATGCCGCTCATGCAAGAATATGATGAAAGCTTGAAAAAGTATGAATCTCACATGGTTGTAGCAAAAACTCACTAAGGTTGTCAAATCGAAGATAGGGAGCAACTACCAACATGCCACAAACAAGTAGAATCCGGCTTCATGTTTCCCCTAGTTCTAGACAACTACCCTAGCATGCTTTACCTAGAATCAACCAAACGTATTCTCAAACCGTGCATACCATGACCACCTAGTAAGGTTATTATCCAAAAGAAAGAGTCCATTGTTTACAAATCAAAGTCAATAAAGAATGAAAGAGTGAAAAAATAAAGCCTCAAAAAGCTATGTACAAAACCAAGAACAAAAAGAAGAGAAAAGAAAAGAAAAGAAAATAAAATATGGAAAACCAAGATAAAGGAAAAGTAGGAGAACAAAGAAAAGGACAAAGATGCAATCATAACACGTATTTCCCAATCGACAAACAAGCGGTCAAATGGCCACATCGCCAAAGACCCCAAACACACTAGGTGTTATAATCATACATCCTCGAACCGTTCAACTCTCCTAAAACTAATCCTAATCTATGCAACCAAGAAAAGTAAAGGAAGAAAAGTAAAGAGATAAAACAAGAAAGGCCTCACCAACCATCCAAGCTACGCTGCAATAATAAAGGAGCAAGAATGACCTCCTCTAAGAAGCTTCGAAGACCAAAGCAGTGGCTATGAGCAAGGTGAGAAAAAGAAAAGAAAAGGACTATATACAAAATGAAATTATTTGTAACTTCCAAACAAAAGCAAACAAAAGTAAACTTACGCGAAAACTACGTACAAAGAACCAGAGAAACCATCATCATAATCCGCAATAGAAGGGACCACAAAACATCATAATAAAAAACCAAGACAATAAGATAAACAACATACCAACGAGACTACCAAGAGCGAATCAAGAGAAATCCATCAAAGCTCTTTCAAACACATCCCCAAGAGTCCAAGGTGCCTCCCCAAAAACCTACCCTAAAATATCCTATTTGATTCCCCCCGCACTTAATAAGGGCATCGACCGTGATGCCTAAAATCATGCAAAGCTAAAAGGGAGGAAACAAAAAGGGAATTAAACAACCAAGGGGGAAACTATTGGCCACTAGGGCCGCCACCACCATCATCCACATCCCAACCTCCGGTATAACTGGGAGGGAACCCATAGAGACCCTTCAAAAGGTCAAGGTGAGATGTGGACAATTGGTCAAAAGGGTCCGGTTGCATACAGAGCTTAGGGTGAGTGAGGTGAACATGAGAAAATCCTGGCTAATATGTCTGATAAACGAGGGACGTTTATATGAGGGTGTAAACGTCAATTCGTCTCCATTAGTAAGGGTAAAAACGTCAAGCGTGAAAAGGCGAGTAACTGGTGTTTAACGAACGTTAATTGGTACGGGGTTATTGGGTGTTCCCTATAACGGTATTGTACAAACGGAGTTCGTGTTCCAAAAACAAAGTAATATCTAATATTTTCTTGTCAATTTGACTTTTCATTGTTGAACTTGTTTGTACAAATCGATGACACAGTAATTCGAGGAGATCTGAGGGAACGATGAACAATTTTTGAAGTGGGTGATAGCGGCAGGTGGTTGGGGCACGGTGGAGGGATTCCTCGATTGAATGCATGCTGCGCCGGTATGTTGCGGCCACTGTACAGCTAGGGTTGTGAAGTTCAGTCGTTAAAGTCGATTAATTTCGATTGGTATGTGTGATTCTCGCCTGAAACTAGTAATTTTGAATTTGAGATCTTCATTAATTGTGATTCTAACTATCCTATTGGTTGCAATGATGAAGTTGTTAGTATAATTATCCTATTGGCCTCATTTAAATATGATTTGAAGTGTACATTGGATTGAATGGTTACTTGGATTAGTAATTATGAAATTAAAATTGTACATTGAATTGAAATAGTTAGTTACATAAGTTCAATAATTTGTTGGGTGAATAGGCCTCAGGTAATTATGATTTGAATTGTTACTTAGTAGTGATGAAACAGGTAACAAATAGTACTAAATGGGAAGCTCCAAATTGAACTAAATGTGGATGAGAATTGAACTGACAGGTGGAATAAATGGAAGGAGGGAAACATAAGCGAAAATTGTGCAGCAGTCGAAATGATGATGAGGTACAAGTATGATACAAAACCTGAAACATGGAGTAGTCAAGTTCCCCCTATAGTCTGTTTAGAAATTGTCTAATTAATATATTATTCTCGTTAAATTTATGATGGGATAGGAGCAGGACATACCATGAAGAAGCTATCTCCCGAAATATTCAAGGTAATTGAAACAATTTGTATTTGGTAATTGCACCTTAATAGAGTAATGGAGCTTATGTAGGTCCTTGTTGTTGTAGGATGAATCTTTAACTCATGGTGATGGAGAGAAAAGGAAAGGTGAATTGTTGCAAAGACATGTGAAGGCAACTTGTAGGGTAAGTCATTTAGCTGCATTTTTATAGTTGTAGAGGGTGGAGTCATTTTTTAGGATTAATGGTAAAATTTACATTGATACGTTTTTGTTGTTATTGTTCATTATTCAGCCAGCTAATACAAGTTGTCGCGTAGAGTCGTTTGGTAGAATATGCTAAAAGTTAGACGAGCAACGAAAGGCTTGGGTTTGTGAAATGGGGTTTGATGGTCTGTTAAAAATTGGAGAGATTAACCTTCCACGGCAGTTGGCGTATTGGTTGATGACTCGCATAGATCCCTTCAACTGCGCTCTTACTAGTAGAGATGGTAGAGTGTTCAGGCTTTCTCAAAATCAGGTGCATTGGGTCCTTGGTATTCCCGATGGGGGACTTCTTGTTCCCACATACCAAACATTGGATAGAGAAAAGTTGGAAAGGGTGAAAAGTATTATTGATAGGTATGGTAAAACCTGGAAAACTAAGTCGAATAGAATTGGCCGTGAGTTCAAGACTGTATTCTTGTTGTTGGCGCTGGAAAGGGTGAAAAGTATTATTGATAGGTATGCTAACTTAGTGACGTCATTAACGTGTGATGCAAAGGCTGCTGAATATGAATGGTGTAGCCTAGTTTTGAAGAAGCTCATGGATAGTGTTGCGATGTTTGCGCGTCGTTTTTACTCATGTGGATATGCTAGTGGATGTGCAGGTTGCCTAATATATATTGTGGTATGTGATTTATATGAAGTATGGTTTGTTATGTTTGTTTAACATTGGGTTTGATTCAGGTGGTATGACAACTTTTGTGATATAGGTTATGTATTTGGATCGGCTAGATAGACATCCTGTGCATTGGGGTTATTTCCCCCGGTTGGAGGTTTGGAAAATGGAAGAGATACGTATAGCTGTTGTAGAAGATCGTTTCCCAAACGGTGGTGATTTTGGAAAGCTTGGGGTAATAAGTTGTATTTGTATTTATTTAAATGTTACAACAAGTGTGATGGATGTATTATGGTTTGTAGACTTTGGATGTTGCTTATGGTGAATTTCATCCTACTAAAGCAAGGGATACAAATGGGCCTGAGGGGTTTAAAAAGGTAAAGGGGTCAGGGATTATTGTATTTTCAGTATATTATTTCAAGTGAGTAGATGATTGATTCAAGTTTTCTAATTTATAATGTCACAGTTTCAGATTGGTGTAACTACTAGTGTTTGTTATAGGAGTAATGGAACACGAAAAACCACCTCAAAAACTAAGCGTCCTAGGAGAACGAATGTTCAAAATTTGAGTACTCAAATTGATTGTATATATAGGGATGAATGTAAACGGGAAAAAGCAAGCAGTTTTCCTGGTGAAGAGAATATGGCTGTGATGAACAGTTATGATGTGTCATCGTTTAAGATTGATATGTTGAAGAGATATTTGAAGTGACATCTATTGCCTTAAATTTATATTTGTGATTGAAAGTATTTACTCAGGCTTTGGTGAATGTGATTTTGTAGGTGGATATCGATTGATGGTGTCTACATGCTACAATCAGTTACTTCAAGGGTTAGTAAGTGCATGATATCCTGAATGATACTGAGAATAACATGGCTAACATTCTTTATTGTCTTTCATTTATGCAAAATATTTTGAGGTTGATTCATGCTATGGAATATGGTTCGGGAACGGGTCCATTATATTTTCGTCACAGGCGGAGGTATTTTCGTCACCTTAAAATTCAGACAGCGTTACTCCTTGAAATTATGATTTGATAAACAATAACATCTTAGAAAATGCTACCAAAACCAGGGAGAGGTAGTGCTGTTTTCAGGTGGTATTGGTGCATAATCTATGTCAAGAGAGTCGGTTGCTGTGTTTTTACGTACTGAATGGTGTTCGTACTTGGCCATTTTATCGGAGGTTGACAAGCGCACTTTAGGGCACGCTTTAGAGCATATTTTAGGATGATTTTGGATGTATTTGGGGCCGCTTTGGCCGATTATTACCTTGTTATGCTTACGTTCCCCATATTACGTGCTTCACGGGTTTTCGCTTTGTTTTTGATGTGTTTTCAGGTAATATCAACCGAGTTCAATCGGATCCCGAGCCCTTGATGCGTAACCGGGCTAGCCTTGACCGGAGTCCGAGGAGTTAAGGAAGTTCAAGTGTCGTGCATTGATTACATAGCACAGGCAGCACGACCGTGTTACCATAGGCACACCCGTGCTGGCCTATAAGCAAGCAACCCCAGGCAAGGCAGCACAGCCGTGCAAGCCAATAGCACGGCCGTGTCAGTATCCACGCACCCGCACGGCCGTGCCAGATGTTGCACGTGCCCGTGTCAGCTTCAGTATGAGCCCCGTGCTAGAGCATATTCAGCAAGGCCGTGCCATTTTTAGCACGGTCGTGCCATATATAGCACGGTCGTGCCAATTTGAAGAAGAAATTCGGCTTACTTACTGACAAGCTAGCACGGCCGTGCCAAATACAGCACGGTCGTGCTGATCCAGGGTTAACTGCGCGCTTGACTTCTCCGCATTAGAAGACGTATATAAGGCCCAACTTTAAGAGGATTCCTCAGACAGTTTTAGAGATAGTTTTGAGAGCCTTTGTAGAGAGTTATTGGAGAACATTCTTAGTATTAGAGATTCATTAGTTTTCTTAGAGATATTTCTAGAGATTTTAGTTTTCTTGGATTGATTTGAAGCAAGATTTGCGAAGATTCTTTGTATTATTCATTGACGACGGATATCAAAGTTCTGAACTTTTCCATTGATTCGCATCAATACAATTGGTATTATTCATTCTTGTTTATTAATCAAGCTTTATTATTCCTTAATCAGAATACATGTTTATATCTATTATGCTTTTGGAATTCATTATTGCTTTGATTATGAATATGTGTGAGTAGTCTCCTAGCTAGGGTTTCGGGATGAAACCCGGCCTAGGTAATCTATGTAATTGAGGATTGATTTTGATAAACAGATTGTGATTAAATTGATTATATGCGATTGCATGTTAATTCATTATAATAGGAGTAGCTAACCTAGAATCTTGAATTTGATTGCATGATATTCTTGATTGTGAATTGAGTATTTCATTATTGAATGTGGTTTGATTATGTATCGAGTAATGTTAAGTGCATGAGAAATCCAAGCTTAGTATTGCCCGTTGTCTTCCTATCACATGACATTGATCAGACTTATAGTCTTTTCATATCCCGTTTGTCTCTGTGATTCCTTGTTGCTTAGTTACCAATGGTTAGGCGGATTCCCGTTCTCCCTAGTGTCTTAGTTTATTGATTTATTCCATCTTATTATTATTATTTTAGAACATCATTTTCCATTGATTTCGAACTAGCTTAGGTTTAAGATTGATTTGCAATTACTCTCGTTCCTCGTGGACCGAACCTTTATTTGCCATTGTACTTGGTTATAGGGTGTTCGTATAAGTATTGTTTGATTAAGAGTTAGATTGTAGCGACCGATTTAACCCTCGTCAGAGGTACCTTTAAAACTATCTCTGAACTATATGAAATTGGTGTGGTAATTTTTGGTAGTTTAACTGAATCCGTTAAATGATTAGGTTGAAGGTCAGTCATTGATGGCCTCTCCTGCGCTTTGTGTTTTAGTAAAAATTGGCCATCCCAATGACATATATGTGGTGCATTCTACTTCATGGAACTCAACTTTGAAAGTGATCAAGAAGAACCGGGTCTTTAAACGTTTGCAATAAAAAGTCCACCCAATAAAGAAATTATTATTAGGTGACGAGTGGAAAACTAGGTCGTTATCTAATCTCCCCTCGGTCAAACTAAATTTATAAACACTTAACAAACCTAAATACGAGTATAGAGGCAAGTCAAGGGTCGAACCCAAAGGAACGGTAATGTTCAAGCACTTTCAATTATGCGCCTAAGCTAGGTCAAAGACGAAGGTAAGAGAGAATACTAACAACTAACAAAACAAGTAATTAAGGAAATAAAACACTAGGAACAGGGATCAACAAGTAATCATGTCAATTGCAACAACATGGGAAGGGAATTCCAATCAAAGGTTGTGAGGACTAATGATAAGAGCAATCAATAGGAATCAAAGAGCTATCTCCTAATTGTTAAGCTAGGGTTCACTATGAATAAGAAACTAAGAGAATCACAATCAAAACCAATTGATAATTGCGATTCCTAAATCAATTGTTCATGTCATTAGCAATTACAATGCAATCTAGCATAATTCTCAAGGCCAAATTGAATTACACACATGCAAACCTTCACTAATCACTTTAATCTCAACACTCAATCAACACAATCCCCAAATTAATCACAATTAATCAATCATACAAGTTTCACCCAATTCCTAGCCAAACAACTATTCAAGAATCATCATCTATCAACTAACAACTATGGAAATCAAGAATCAACAAAATACCAAGAACAATTACACTAATAAAGCACCAAACATCAAAATTAAACCAAACAAACATGAAATTAAACAAAGAAATAAGGTGAGATAGAGTTAAGAATGCTCATTGATAATAGAGAAGATCTTGAACACAATTGTCACACTTGCATCTTCAATCTCTCAATCACCATTGAAATTCCTCACTTTCTCTCTCTAAAACTACTCCTAATCTAGCCTAATCTAGAGAGAGAAGCTCTCAACCTAAGAGAGAGAAAACTATTCTAAAACTAAAGAATTACATGAATCATGATTAAAAGAAACCAAAAACTATATAAACAAAAGGAGTAAAGAAGCTTAAAATCGTAAAAGACCCAGAAACCCGCGCCCGCAGAGGGGAACGGACACCCTGATAGTCGCGCCCCCTCGGCCCAAGCCCGCGCCCGCGGCCCAAGACCGCGCTCGCGGGGCCAAGGCCCGTGCCCTCGGGGAGCCCTCGGGACAACCGCGGGTGCTTACTGCCCAAATACGGCAGTTTTGGAGCTGCAGCAACCCCGCGCCCGCGGCAGTTTTCCAGGGCCAACTTCAGAAGGCTGTAACTTCCGATCTAAGAATTGTATGAAGGAGTGCGACCTATCATTGGAAAGATATTCAAGTCTAGTTTCCAACCCAACTTGAATCACCCTAATCCGATCTGTAGACCTTGAGATATGAATAAAACAATGCACAAAGGTCCTATTTGATACTTTGCAATTCTTCGTTTTCCTTTGTTTCAAACTCAAATTCAATTCCGAAAAGTGCATATTGATCCTAGTGGGTGCTATTTTCAATTCCCATGCATATAGCCCGCGACGTACCTACAAAACAAGACAAAGAAACGGAGAAGCAAGAGAAATAGCCGAGAAATGAATAAAATGATAAGAAAGCCATTAAAAGCCTGCATTTCTCTAAACTAACACAAAAACACGCGAATCGAGCATTATTCTCTAAAAACACGACATAAACGACTACAAAGGAGTATAGAAATATAAAGAAAACATAGCCTAAAGATGCCATAAATGGCACGGATCAAATTCCCCCAAGCTAAACTTTTGCTCGTCCTCGAGCAAAACAAAATCCAACCCAAGGGAAAAATGATGAATTATTCAAGCAAAGAAAGAAACGAGAAAACTAGAGAAGATGGGAATATACACTAACTCACTTTCGTAGGAATCACGGTCAATTTTAACAACTAAAGACAAGCCATTTAAACCCCTAGATCGCCCTAGAGGACGAGTGATGCTCTCGTAAGGGTATCGTAAGAGTTTACCCATAACTCTCATAATAATACAAACAAGGCAAAGCATGAAAAAGAAAACAAAATACAAGAAAAGCAAACAAATGTTAATGAAAGGACTTTTGCGAATATACAAGCACAATGAATGCAAATCTTTATAAACAAGTAAGGGAGTGCATGCTATAAGATACCTAAGGTTGATTGAAACTTAAAAATGCTAAGCATAGGAACTAGTTATCACACTCCACTTTCATCCCAAACGGTCTTACCGCGTTCCCCCTACTAATCTCATATCTCCACATAGTGAGCATCTCATAGATTCCGCGAAGGAACCGGAAAAAGATCAAATTTTTGGGCTACTCGACATCTTGACTTCGCATCCCCTTTCCTTAGGCAATGACCCATGATTCCCTCCCCCGAATAGTGACTTAACTTTCTAGGTCGAAAGGTCTTTCCCCAAGGTTGTAACATAAGGCATAAAGGGTGAAGGTAGGCTAAAATTTAAAATTTGGAGGTTTTCCTAAAAAGTGAAGCAAAAGGGTGATCAATCCTTAACAACACGATCAAGAAATCACCAAGAAAAAGCAACACCCCCAAGCTTATTTGAAGCTATACTCACAAGAAATATATACAAAAAGCGTAAATGCTTCTCCCCCAAGCTTAAATGAAGCATTGTCCTCAATGCTTAGAAGGAGAAAAGAATACATCAAAATATTTTTGAATTTTCACTTTTTTCAAATTTTTTTTTTTCTTCTTTTTTTTTTTACTTAAAC